GACGGTGGCCCGGTAGTGGCCAACGGTTGCAGCAAGGACTCCCTTGATCGAGTCCAAACGCCTCATCGTCAAAGACAGCTGCTCCCTCACCGCTGCTGCGTATTCCTTCTCAGAGGCAAGCTCTCGTCGGAGACCCTCGGCTAGCTCGTTCGCCTTACGGGCCTGCTCGACGGACAAAATCTCTGCATCCCGGGCCTTGGCAAGATCGGCCCTCAAACCATCCTTTTCTCGCTCCTTCTCCGCTAAAGACAGGTGGAGAGCTGCAAGGGAGTCGTACAGACCCCCTTTTTCACCTTCCAGGCGCTCGATTTCCGCCTTGAGCGCTTCAATCGTAGCATCTCGGCCGGAGACCTCACGAGTACAGCGCTCTTCCATAACAACGCCCATGTGATACCCCTGCGACCAGAGAGAGAAAAACCAAAGCGATCAGTAACAGAATCAAAAACAAGTCTAGAAGCGAACATACACAAAAAAAAGAAAAGGGGCAAACCGTCGAAGACGCACCAGGCTCTGGTGTTCTAGATGAACACGGAGAAGCTGGAAGAAATCCATGTCCCTTAGACGCTGTTTGAAGTGATCTGTTCAAAGAAGAACAAACAAACACAAAACAATAAGGTGAGAAAAGCAAATCTCACGTTAAACACACCAACAGCCAAAGACCACCTCCGACGTCTCCAAGAACAGCAAGATAACACTCCTCCCAACCTGAGATAGAGGTGTCGGAGGAGCCTACGTAAAAAAACAACAACAGCTCAGGTCAGAGGGCATATCAGAAACAGACAATAACAACAGGCCAAATGATGATCAAAATAAAAACATTCTATACTCACTCGAACCCGACGCCACCAGCCCCGGCTGCCCCGGACCAAACCTAGCGCCGGCAGCGGCTGCTCGCTCCTCCAGGGTGAGGAGTCCAGCCATGACATCACCTATAAAGCAACAGATACACAATATTAGCACTTGGTACAATACGAAAACAAATGAACCGGGCGAAGACAGTAAAACACAAAAATGCGTGCCAAACAGACTTACTCATAAAAGGCCCAGATTGGGCAGCTTGCCGCGCCCCCTAGGCAGAAGTCGCTGCCATATCGTGCGGCGAAGGCCCAAAGGGCCGGACCTCCTCAGCCAGCGGCCTGACGGGCGGAGGACTCGAAGAAGGCCGAGCCGCCGGGGCCTGCTCAGCAAGCACGGCCTCCAGCTGCCCGACGTTGGCCGCCAGCACAGGCGAAGGCGCGGCAACGGCAGGAGACGAAGGAGCGTGCTGCAAGACGGCCTCTGTGTCCTCTTCAGAGCTTGAGCATAGCCCGCCAAGAACGTCGGGCATAGGCTCGATGGCGCTACCTTCCGGCTGTTCGCCGACACTCATTGCACCATGCGAGGAGCGCGCCAGGGCAGCGCTGGCTTCCGGACGCCCAGCACCGGTCACAGCTCCACTCATAGGGCACACCAGAGCTACAGGAGAGCCATGATCCCCTTCGCTCGCAACCCATGCGTCCGCTGACGGGACGGAAGAGCTCTCAACATCTTCACTGCCGGCGGAGGCAATGCCCGCGCTACCGGCAGAAGACATGGCCGGCGCGATCAATGGAGCACCGCTCTTCTTCTTCTTTTTCGCGGGCGCCCGAGCAACAACGGTGCCCTTCCTCTTCTTAGACTCGGCCTCCGCCATAACATTCTTCGCAAAGGCCCTCTTCTTCTTCTTCTTCTCAATCGAAGCCAGGACCTCGGTGGGAACATCGCGCTCCCGGTAGACGATCCTGACCTCCTCAAAAACTCGATTGAGCTACGGCATGGTGCCCGCCACGGCCATCCGAGACGTGTACTCACGCTCAGAAATCTTGCCAACCAACCCCACAGCGGCTTCCTCAACCTCGGAGACGAAACTGTCCTCCGTCACCCCCTCCCCCAAAGACTGACCGAAGCGGGGGAACGGAATCCCGGCCTCCGGCCCAAAAACGGGAACCTTCACCTGTTCCAGCCGAAAGGCTGGGTTGTTTTTGCCTAGGGGCCAGTAGTTGGAGACCATAATCTCCTCCACCAGGTCGCGGCCACTGGAGTAGCGGCACACTACCGCAAAAGCCTGATCACAAGCCTCCCTCGTCGGAGACACCTCCTTCGGTGGATCCACGCGCGTGAGCGGCGCCATCTCCTCCATCCTTGAGTCAATGGATACTCCGAGACATCCGCACCATCCTCGGTAGTGCTACGGACCCCGTAGGTCTTCACGTAGAACCATTGCTCAAGCCAGCCATGGTCCCACTTGCCCTTCTGGCAAAAAGAGATCTCTAGGCGGTCCGCGCCTTGGTTCCTCTTAGACATAAAAGTGCAACTACCGTACTGGTAGGTCACCTCCACCTCCTTGCCCTCTCGCACCTCCTTCTTCTTCTTCGGCTGCTTATGTAGCTCGTAGTACGCACAGAAGGTGTCCACATCCGGCTTGGCACCATAAGAAACGCACGCCCAGCAAAATTTGCTAAGCGTGAGGAAGGCGGTAGGAGTCAGATGATGGAGCTGGACATTGAAGGTCTCCAACACCCGGCGAAGGAAGGGGATGTAAGGAAGGCAGAGGCCGCAGGTGAAGAAGTCCTGAAAGACCACCGCATATCCCTCCTCCGGTTCTGGAACAGTCTGGCCAGGCGGAGGGATTTTTACCCTGGAAGAAGGAAAACATGATTCCTTCAACATCTCCGCGATAGCCTCTTCAGTAATAGAGGAGGGGCCAAAATCCCAAGACCTTATCGCCATATCTCTGAAATCCGCAGCGATTAGGTCTCCGACAAACGTAGAGACACTCCCCAAATCCTCCTCCACCAGCTTTTCAAACTCCAACGCGGAGGCAGAGGCAAGCATGCACTCCTCAAAGCGCGCACCCCAGCCGACGGCCCTAACGCCGAGAAGGTGGCGGTAGGGTCCGAAAAAGGCGGGCCGGCGAGTTTGGGCAGAGGAGGAAAGGAAAGCCACCGCGATAGCAGCCTAAGCGCGAGACGCAGGCAGAAAGACGGAACGTGCGAGGGCAGCAAAAGGCGAAAGCGAAGAGAGCAGAGAGCGATTTCTCAAATGCAACGAAAGCGAATGAGCAATGCGGGGTGGGGGGGACCCCGCCACCAACAACACCCTTATATAGGCAGCGGGCAGGCGGTCCGACTCCCGCCATACAACGGTCACCTCCGGAAAATTCGCCTGCCGCACAGCGGTCATCTCCGAAAAAGTCGCAAGGTATGCAACGGAAACTGACACGACATAAACGGCCACACCATAGGACAATGGCTAGATTTGCTGCCCAACGGCTACTCTCAACAAGACCAGGGGCCACGCCAGAGCGGGCCAGGGGGGAAGTAGCGGGGCCTCGCTAAAAGATGCCAATGAATGTGGCCTTCGCCCCCGCGGATGCCTTTGGTCAATATGGCCTCCGCCCCCACGGACGCCTTTGGTCAAGGCGTTTTGAGCTCATGGCACGCTCCGACGAACCATGGTCTCAAAAGGGGGGAACTGTTGTAGCACGGCTTCGGCGGGTGGCGAAGGCCTCCGACAACGAGGTGTCGCCAAGGCGTCTTCGACCGTCTTGGGGCGGAGACCTGGCGCCGACTAAAGGAACTTTCCTGGCTATGCTTGTAGGGCACTGTAGGAGCTCAGCGAGCTTGTCACGAATTCTGCCCAGGCCAGGCGTAGACATCTCCGACCTATGCTCAGGCGGACGCCGCCCCGCTTCAGCTCACGGGTGTCTCCGGCGATGAGGGCGGAGGCCGCCTTACCCCTAAACTAATTAAACAAACAATCTTGCCTAAGTGTGTGCAGGTACTCAAGCGCAGGCGCGAAGACCCACGGTAGACGTCTCCGACCGGACCGGCGGAGACCCGCCAAGGCGACGGCGTGCCCCCGAAGACGTAGGCCAGCGTCGGGAACCACGGCCCCCGCGTGGCCGGGCGGAGACATACGGATGATGTCTCCGACCGGACCGGCAGAGACCCACCAAGGCGACGGCGCGCCTCCAAAGACGGAGGCCAGCATCGGGAACCCAGGCCTTTGGGCCGAAGATCGAGGCATGGTGGGCCGGCCGCCTATGAAGGCCCGTCACCTGGAAACGCTGTGGCAGGATTGCCCCGCAAACAAGAGACCAGTGGCGGAATATTCCAGGAATGTACCGTAGCAGTTGAGGGGCATTGTAATAAATTCCGTCAGGAAGTAGTTGAGCCCTATAAATAGGGAACACTTGTAACCGTGCGGATGGTTGGTGAATGAATTAATGAAACCCTAGCTTTTCGTGCCATCTTCCCACAAGCTCACCTGTCGTGCCTACCCCGAGCCTCCGCCCGAGGGCGACGCTTGGCGGGCGGAGGCCTCTGTCTCCCTCACTCTGTCCGAAACCGCTAGTTTCAACAAGCGTGATCCCATGAGCTCCTTGGGTGACCTCGAGGCCAAGGTAGTAGGAGAGGATCCCAAGATCACTCATGCAGAAGGTGCTCAACATCTGCTTCTTGAACCTCCCCACGACAACAGAACCTCTACTACCTCGCTGCTTTCAGAACGGCCGGCAAGGCCAATCAGGAAAACCGTATACAGCATTCAGCAACATGAGCACTTGAGCAACGAGGACAAGGTTTACAAGTGAAACAAAACCCTGTGCAGAATCAGAGAACCTGTCACAAGAAACATCAGTTTTTTTTTGAAACTAGAAACATCAGGTTTTTGAGGCTACAGAGTGAAAAGAACTACACTTTTGGCACTTTTGGCATTGGCTTCTGGCCCTTGGGCCGTGGTCAACAATAAGCCTTGTAATTTGTAGCAGGCCTCCTAGGAGAAACAGGGAAGTGCTTTCAACACTTGCTCGAACAGCTTGTAACAGTATGATACTCCTATAGGTTCTGAAGACGGTCACTGCAGCCATGGTGTCAGCTTGAATGCCTGCAAATAGACATAAAAATGTATGTAAACCATCAAGATAACATGGTCAACGGTAGAAGTATACCTTTCAAGGTGAGATGTGGAGAAACCTGTAATCAGTTCACATAATTCCCATCAATTTTTACATTTAGCTTGCTTGTCGCTAGCATTCTGCATTGCTCGGTTAGTTCTTTGCTGCAATAGAGGACCTCCAGTTCTTCCAGGGAAGGTGGGAGGCCCCTTTCTGGCAGCCTTGAGATACTCGGGCAATCACTGATCTCCAACCGCTTGAGAGAGAGAAGGCTATGCAGACCCACAGGAAGATCCGAGAGTTCGCAAAATTCGAGCTCTTGCAGGGACGTGAGGAGCTGAAGTGCTGCCTCTTGCTCGCATGTTAGTCCTGCCGCGTCGGTATCTTCATATTCATCCTCGAGTTCTAGGCATTGGAGAGAGGTGAGGTGCTCGCAGAATGGCGTGGTAAGAAAAGACAGGTCGTCGATCCGAAGCCTTTCCAATCGAGGGAACAGTTCATAACCCTGCGTTGATAGACTCTTCAAACATTGAGGTAAGCCAGGGCCCTGCGTTGATAGACTCTTCAAACATTGAGGTAAGCCAGGGCATCTGTATACTTCCAAATGCCTGAGACTGCGGAGGGACCGGACACCCTCTAGTGCGTCTAGCGATTTGCAATATCGAATCGTCAGCTCTTCCAGTGCTGTGCAGGAATGCAGCTGTAGAGATTTCAATGCATCATTTCCCGACACTAGTAGTACTTTGAGGCAGGTCAGATCTCCCAGAAAGCAGGGCCGCAGCGTTTCTAGGGAAGCGTCATGGATATCCAGTATGACAAGTGAACACGGGAGAAGCCATCTTCCGTTTGCCTGGTCATCGATTTCGTCTTCACGCACCAAGGACGATATCAGCTCCGGGCAATCAACAATTCTTGGCTCCTCAAGGGAGGTGAATCCAGAGAAGCATTCCTTGTTCCCCAGAAACTTTAGCTTGCAACATGCAATGGACATCTTCTTGAGAGAGGGTATGAGGTTAGATGGAATCCGCAGGAGTTTGTTAGGACATGGCCTTGTCGATGCGCCATCTGGATTTCCCTGTGATGAAACACATGGAGCCGAGGTGAGATTTGATAAAGTATTCTCTTTACCTTGTATCAATAGTCCTGTTATCTGCTCACACCTCACTAGATCCAATGTCTCTAGGGCTCGCACATGTTGCAATACCATAGATAACCACTGGCCAATTATTCCACAATGTCTAATGCTGAGACACTCGAGAGATGGACTGGCATCAAAATTTGTGCTTGTCATGTATTCATGGGTATGTGTTGACGACACATCTGAAGAGAAAATTGTTTGGCATGACCATATTTCCAACCTCTTCAAGCAGACGAGTTGCTTCAAACCTTCTAGTGAAATAGACACCAGATTATTGCAGCCCACTATTTGCAATCGAGTTATGGTCCTCAGGTTGTGGAATGACAAAATTTTGTCATCAAGGAAATCAATGGTAGATGGATCATCATAAGATTCAATTCTGTATTCCCCGTTTGATGATCCCTCCATCTTTGGAAGTGCGGAAACTTTTGTGATGGATAATTTAAAAACACTACTTGATGGTGGTAGAGGATTTGATACCATTAAATGAGGACACTCATGGATGGTCAACTCGCTAACACTGGGCAACCATGACATGTGCTCGATTTCAAAATTTTCACAGCTCTCAAAGAGGATAAAGGCCTTCAGTACCCAGCATCTCCTGATCTCCAGTACCCTCAAACTTGAGTTCAAGTCCCTCACTGAATTGGAGAAACATGTTTCCAACTTTGGCATATCAATCAATACCAGCTCCTCTAACGAAGGAATTAGCAACTCTGTTACTTCTGTCATATTCCTTAACTTCAACTTTGTAAGAGATGATAGACTTTCTAGAGATGGGATTATTTGCCATCCTTTACAATCCTCTAGATGGATCATCTGCAAACTAGCAGACCTAGCTGGGGAGAAAGCGCCGCATGCTCCTTTTGTCAGAACAAGATGCCTCATGCTGACGAGATCACTCATATCATGAACAATTGTTTGGCACCCAGCATCTAATATTTCAAGGTTGTAAAACTTGCTTAGAGATATAAGCAAATATTCACTTGTGCCTTTGATATCAAGTTTTAGGTAGCGAAGATGGGTACAATTTACCAAATTGAAGATAAAGGTATGGAAGGACTTGAACAGGACGAATAAAGAATAATAGCGCCCAACTAAGATCACCATCCTCAATCTCCTTAATGAAGAAGCTATACTTTGCAATTTTTCTTCAAACTTCACGTTACCATCTATGTTCTCACATTCATCTATATGGTACACCAAATCAGTTTGAATTGACAAATGGCGCACGGTTGGTAGCACTTCTTTGCACTCTAAACCATCTATAGTTGCAAACTCGGTCCTTGAAACCAGTCTTGCAAATTCATGCATCATACCACACATAACATAGCATTGTTGTAGAATGGAGTCATCTTTTGTTCCAACCTGCTCAAAGAAACATGAGTTGACCAAAGCATTGAGATAATCCCATCCTGTCTCAATAGATTTCACAAATCCCGATGATATCCACATGGAGACCAAACCATCAATATGAAATTGATGGTCACTAGGGAATATAGAACATGCCAAGAAACACTGTTGTAAATTGTATGGCAACTGATAATAGATATTCTTCAAAGCAGTCACGATGCCTGCACGGAGTTGCAGAGATTCCCAAATACCATTCTTCATGATGCTTTTCCAATGGTGAAGACCAGACTGCTCTCTTAACATGTCCGCTGCATTTTCTGCTGCTAATGGGTTGCCATTTAACTTTGTAGCTATTTGACGGCCGATATCTAGATGTTCTTTGCATTGGTTATCACCAAATGCACATGCTTTAAACAATAGCCAAAAATCATCATTTTCTAGAGCTCTTAACTTAACTGGTTCTATTGTACCTAGCCTTTTTGCAATGGACAAATTCCTAGTTGTCACAATAATCACATTACCCTTTGTGCAACTTGATCCCAAAGCATCCAATAGATCTTTCCATAGGGAATTCACCATGTAGTCGCAAACATCATCTAGAACAAGTAGAAACTTTTTGGACAGACGAGCCATATGTTTCTTTAAGACCTCTAGAAGCTTTGAGTAGTTGCTTACTCTTTCATAGCTTTCTCTGTTGCAAGATCCTTCATGGCTGGCCATAGTAACAACATTAAGATCTCCCATGTCACTCTTACTTCATCAAAGATGTTGGACACCCAAACCCATATCCGCTCAAATTTTGTTTCAACACGTGAATCCTTGTATACAAGCTTAGCTAAAGCTGTCTTCCCAACTCCTAGAATGCCTACAATAGGTAGCACAGTAATGTTGTCCGACTTAGCAGCTTTGATCGCCCATATGATTTTGGCTTTCTCCACATCCCTTCCATATACCTTTCCAGGAAGAGAGCTTGATGTTCTTGCTCGTGTATCTGAGTTGTTAATCTGATACTGATCAGGCCTTGCAATAGAGTCCTTGAGATACTCAATCACATGGTGTCGGATGCTTCTTAACTCAAGAACTATTTCCTGGATCCTTCTAAAAAATTCGGCCTTGTCCCAGAGGTGTGTGGTTGTAGCTACATTGTACTCAATTCTCTTTCTTTTTCTCCCGTCCGAATCATTGGTCGAAATTGTGGCACCATTTTGTACACTGTTGCCGACACTACAAGAGGAAAAGAATCACAGGTTGGTCATCAGAAAATTATTACTATAATTTAAAGGATCACATGTACGCATATTATATATTAAGCGTTGCGATGCAGAACTTGAAGGGTAAGTAGTACCTTGGACGGTTCGGCGTCTCTTCAATTGCTGAACGTTTTTTGTTGCAACTTTTGTGATGCTTGAGCATAGCTGATGTCCCGTGACCCCATGTAAGCTCTCTGCCGCAGTAATTGCACTTCGCTTTTGCAGGCTCTCCGTTAACAGAGGGTATAATCTGAAAATGGTCCCACACCTCGGATCGGTTTTTGCGGCGGCGATTGCTCAGTGTACCAGTACTGTTGGCCGATGGATCTGCTTGCTCTGCTCTATTTCTGTCTCCATCTCCAACCATGCCTTCCGGCTCAGTAGCAGGAGCAAGCATAGCTGGCAGAGAACGGAGAAAGTAAGGACATGTCAAGCGTCGAGTTTGTCATCACAATTTACTAAAGAAAGAAACTGTAGAAAATCACAAATCATTCACAAGGATCAATGTATACCAACAGTATTGACCGATGCATCTACTTGCTCTGCTCCACCACCAACCATGCCTTCTAGCTCAACAGAAGGAGCAATCATATCTGAAAGAGAAAGGAGAAAGGACTTGTCATGAGGATTATCACAATTTAAAGGGAAAAAAACTGTAAAGAAAGTCACAAACCACAAGTATGGATGCATACGTACGTTCTTCGACCTTTATGCTGGAGCCTGCAATAGTCGAGTTCATCAACCACGTCGTCGGCCTCGTACATGAGCTCCTTCACACGAGCGAGCGAGCGGGCAAGCGGCTTGTTCCCGACCGCCCTCCCGTTGACACCGTTAACCACCGTCTCCATCCTCTCCACCTCAGACTTGAGTTCCCCGATGCCACCAGCGAGGCCAACTCCATGAAGCCATGCGTCGAGCTCGCCGGGCGCAAGAGTTTCGAGGATGGTTTGCACCCGCCATAGAATCGCGGACTCCATAGCGGTCGCCTCTGCCGCCTCCATGAGATCGATCTGAGAGATGGTGAACGAAGGAGGAAGCAAAAGTGAGGGCAGCGTAGCGAAAGAAGAAACGATCAAACGAATCAGAAGAGCATACGGCCGGGTGGTGGAAAGCTGGTAAAGGCGTGTAAAGCTGAGAGAGCGGGCAGAAGTGGAGAATAAAGAGAGCATGCACTTTTGACCTGTAATGTGGAGCTACTTTCTTTATTTATCGGTAATGCAGACAAAAAATATATCCAGCCTTCAACACAAACAGGAATCCCGAATACAAGAAAATATTAGGTCGAGACCCACCTTCTCAGTGCAATCGAATAAAGAGAGCCGCTGTGGCTGTTTACTCCCTCACATGTTACTGTATAATACTACCAGTGCAGCCGGCTGAAAATGGCAGCCGAACAAGCTGCTAGGAGTACTTATTACAAGCTAAGCACAAATCACTAGAATGCTTGTGGCAAATATCTTAGTGATTCAAAATTACGTGCATGTTTAATTGCTCAAAATGTGGAGCCATGCATTTCTTAGTTTCTTCATTGCCACATGGGCTGTGGCTACGTCCCTTTTCTTCTTTTCAGTTTGTCAGGAAGAAATTGAGCAATTTTCTTGGCATTTTAGTTGCAGAATATTTGAAGTGGTATGAGTGCATTTTGAGCATTATAAATGAGTATCAGGCGGGGTTCAATGGCCTTCCCGTTCATATACTCACTTCATTCTAAATTATAAGACGTTTTGATTTTTCTAAATACTCAGTTTTTGCTATGCATTTGGATATACACTATGTCTAGATAAATAGTAAAAACAAATGTATCTCGAAAAGCCAAAACGTCTTATAATTTGGAACGGATGGAGTAAATTTGAAGTATACAAATGGGAATAGACTCCAGCTGTAATTTTCTAGAAAACATGTGTACACTTACAGAACTGTGTAGAGAAAATACATAGCTTCATAAGACATAACTGCACAATACTGAAATGCCAGGAGTGTACATCAACTGGCTAGATGCTCTGCAATGTGACTTCTTTCATGTAAGTACATGTCACTGCTTTTCGGCTGCCTCATGACTTCTTTTGCTCTTCTTCTCTTTTTCCAATGGAATAAGCTAAGGCATGTGGTACTTGTAAGTATCTGAAGCTGCTCATAATGTAACACTTCTGTGTACTTTTCACTAGGCTATTCAGATGGCAGCTCTTAGCTACTCATTATGTTCCAAGGCATAGCTTGCATTAAGGAAGTTAATCGTGATGGAGCTCTGTTAGCCTGTTACTGAAAACCACATGGAAAATAAAAGACAGAGCATTATATAACAGCCCAAGATTAAGCTAGAAAATAGCAAGAGACGATAACAACTATAATAGCAAGAAAGGGTACTAGCTAAGGGAAATAGCTATTTTACTGAGCATGTAAAAGGAAAACAAAATGCTTCTGAAACAGTTTCATCTTGATGTAACTATTCTCTTAGAAGATATGCACTGAAACAGTCCATTTTGTGGCAATAACTCTAAGCTATATGCATATTTAATTGTCTATAATGTGGACCCATACATTTGTTAATGTCACGTCATCCCGTTTCTTTATTTGAGCTCCTTATCATTTTGTTGCATAGAAGGCTATCTTGAGATTAAATTGCAGTAACCTTTTGTAATTAGCACCTTGAACTGAAATTGTGGCAAGGAGGTTTCTTGATTGCTAGCAAAACTAATTGTTTTATCATTCAAAATTTTATATCTAATTAGAACATTTTCCAATTGATGAGCTACATTGATATGACCAAGGCCAGGCAGATTATTTATCCATGAGCATAAAGCCATAAACTTTGCATGGCTGTTGCCGCCTTGCCGGCGTGGTGGAGCTGTTCAGTGCTTCAGGCAAACATAACTACAAAAGAAAAATAGCAAGAAGCTGAACAAACTGCAAAGCTCATGCTTCTCATCAAGTGATAGTTTCATGATGCTAGGAGTAATATGAGTAATGTGTAACTGCAAACTAACCATGTAAATAATTTCAACCAGTGCATACTAGTGGTAAAACATGTTGTATTTCAGTGTATTTCTCATCTAGTGTGCTTATGCACAGATGTTTTCCTTGTCCAATCTGCCATCACTGCAGCATAACTGCATAAGACAGCATGAACAAGAACAAATAATGAGGAAACCAAAGAAGTCATGAGAACATCCAGTAGGTGCAAACCACTCCTGTTTCCTAAAAAAAAAGTGATGAGAAAAGTGGAAATGACAATGGAATCATACACAGTTACTAATTTCGCCAGTGATTTTTTTTTTTTGAACAAATTGGCAGAAGCTCTGCCTTTCAATTAAGTAGAGGAAGAATTTTGCCACTGATTTGCATCATAAAGAAAATGCATAGGGCACCATGTAAAGATAGTATCTGCCAAGATTTTATATCTATGTTGACTTTAGAAGAACAAATAGTAATATTTACCTAAGTTTATGCAAGATAAGCAATCTCAAACACCTACCATAATACTATTTTCTGAGCAAGAAAAGATGACCTTTTTGTAAAAGATATGTACCTGAATATCTGTAGCTTGCAAATACAAGTAGCTTGTTTTGGAAGATAGAATGAGAATGAAGAAAGATGGTTATCAGTACTTCAGAGCAACTTAAATAATGCCAATGTGTACAACCTAGGACAATACTTGAAGGAACAACAGTAGTACATCTAGAGAAAACAGAGAATCAACATGCTGAATGCAGTAGGTTTTCTGGATGTACCCCATCTTATACAGGGGCGAGAATGAAAATAGAACACAATGCCTTCGCCAAGATCAGGAGCAAAGGCAGATTGGAAAAGCAGCAATAACAAAATTAATTAGAGAGATGGTGGTTTACGGCCCATAGATCCTCATTGGCATGCAGTAGCTACATAGTAAATTTAGACTGTTGTGTAATGTTGAGTGCAAAATAAGCAAATCACCAAACACCTAGTATTAGAGAGTCAAAAGAAGATGCCAAAATATATCAACAGAAAATATCTATGTCTATAAAGATGCAGACGAATAGCAGATGCAAGTACAGATACAACCTAATTCTGTAAGAATATGAAGTAACTGCAAAAAGGAAAATTAGTCTAATCCAGGAAACAAGCAGTGCATTTATTGAACTGGTATAACATGCCCGAGCATCCCAAACAGCAACAACAGGAAATTATTGCAATATAGAATACACATGTGACTATACACATCAATCAAGAAACAAAAGAAGAAGAAGAAGAAGTTTGCAGCGGTAGCACAAAGGGGAAGAGGAGACATATATTGTGTTGAATGCCAAAATAAGATCCACCGTGTAAAGCAATGCGGGTGCGCTATCAACACAAAGAGTAACCTTAGTTGGTGAACATGACAGGTTTCCAATTAAACAAAGGCATTTAGGACCACATTTAGTATTTTGAAAAAACAATGGCATTCAGTTCCAAATATATTTGTACAAGACGGTGTTTTTTCTAGTCAATTCTTTTGGGGTGTGAAAACATAGTAATAACAAAGCAAGATTAAGGAATAGAGGAAAATACTCCTAAATTGAAACAGCAGGAACTACAGGCAACAGGAGTCAATCAAGTGAATTTCTGTAACATGTTTAGTTATGATTTTCTAGATCCACCATGGAGATGGCACAATTATTCTAAGCCAATTTTATGTGGGAGAAGATCATGCAAGCATTGACATAAAGCACTCCACTACATACATTGTGCGATGATGGCCAAAACCCCTTCTTAATGACTGAGGTCAATGAAATAGGAAAGATGTGATGTGGGGGCGCCATTATGAAAGACGTCCCAGGGCTCGAGATGTGGCAAGAAGGGCCAGAGTGGCATCCAAGGATGTAACAACCCAGAAATCCACACACCAAAAATACCAACTACAAAATTTTTCTTAAAAATCCCATGTGATGATAAGTGTCATGTATAGAAACCTAACCTAAGAGTTGCATTAGAAGTAACCCAACCCAAGTCATCACATAAGCATAGCATGTCATTTGTTGATTATGAATATTTAATCTCTAACAAATAAGTGTTGCATACATTTTGTGAGTTGGACTTTTCATTTGTCTCATGTAATGCCTAACGACCCCTTTAAAGTAATGAACCAAAAGAAATCAAATCAAAGGTTTAAAGTGAAAACTACCCTATATTTTTGTATAACAAAACTACACCTACTTTTGTTATACAAAATGGCTAAATAAATTCCTAATATATATATTTAAGGAAGTTGTGGGTCACATATCTAAAACTCTAATGAATTTGGTGCACCAATTTTTGAATTCAAAAACCAAAACTAAATTTAAATTCAAACAATGGAGATGAAATGAAAAATAGAAAAGAAAAGAGAAGAGGAGAAGGCCTCGAAAGCCCAGGCAGCTCGGCCTAGCCAGCCCCAGCGCGCGCGGCCCAGCTTGCGGCCCAGCAACGCCCGCGCGCTCCCCGCCTTCGCTCGCTGCCGCTGCCGCTGGACCCCGCGTGTCAGCCGCACGACGCCCACGCCCGCGCGTCTCCCTGCCTCCGCTTGCAGCCGCTGCCGCTGGACCCCGCATGTCAGCCCTACTATTCTTCTTCTCCACGCCGTGCACGACCACCGCGCGACAGAGCCCCGACAGCAATGGCAGGGCGGGCCAGGGGGTCACGCCCGGGGCATGGCCTTGCCCCCCCCCCCTTGCGCCGCGCCCACGCAACCACGCACGGCCGTCGGATGGGATGCACGCCTCCGATCCCCCTCAATCTCCAGCCGCCGAATGCCGGGCTCCATGGCCGAGCTCGGCTATAAAAGCCCCAGCCCCGGAGCCCTAGCGCTCGTCCCGTCGCCCCGCCGCCACCTCGGTGGCCGTCCACAGCCCACCCAAGCCAAGAGAGAAGAGGAAGAAGAGGAAGAAGAGGGGGAAGACGCCAGAGCTCGGAGCACCGCCGCGGATCAAGCCGGAGCGGACGACACGGCACTACCTTCGGAGCTACACGGCCACAACTCTTCACT